GCTGAATCCATCTGGCTGGATGTGCTGCTGCTGTCCTAATGAGCTGCTTAGACGAGCCTCGGATGTAATTGTATTGCCTCCACTAGGGTGCGCTGTGACTTTTCAGAGTGAATGTTTAGACGAAGAAGAGAGGGACTCTGTTGTACGCCGAGCTGTGTATTGGAAAACAGCTGGGGCTAAATAACTCAGACTTTTGAGCAAACCTTTGCTTATCGTGGCTTCACACCACAGACCTCACTCGGATCCGCCATTTTGTCGTGGTTCCAGCGGACAGCGGCTCTCGGCTGGTGATCCTGCTCCTGCTCCTGCTCCTGGTGGGGCTCCTCCCGCTGCTCGGCTCACCGCCACAGGTCGCCTCTCAGGATGAATCTGGTCGAAAACAAAACTCTGCGCTCGCAGCTTCACGACGAGGAGGCGGTGGTGGTAGAAAACGCCGTCAGGCTCGCGATAGACTCGGTGCTGAACGTGCTGTACGGGGTGAACGGCGCCAGGACCCGGGAGTACCAGCGGATGGTGGCCGACAGGGACAAAGAGATCCAGCGGCTGGAGGGCAGGCTCACGGAGATCGAGCGCGAGCTGCAGGTGCTGCGCAGACATGGCTGCACGTGCGGGTTGTTCGAGGCCGGAAGCCGGACCTCCGCTAACCGACACACAGGGGAGCAGATCCGGTCTGAAGCAGCAGGAGGAGTGGGCCCTGAGGGGACAGCGGGACCGCAGGACTGTGACCTGAGCCTTTCCTGTAAGCGTGTCTCTCTGAAACACGAAACAGAAACACGCAGATCAGATGATGTCATCACTAAACCCGAGTAAAAACAATGAGCTGGACTCAGGTCCACATTGTTCTCTATTTTAATATGTTTACTGATCAGAAGTAAAACAAGTCATCAAAACATCTGATTTAATTAAAATCAGATGTTGGAATCAGACAACAATATTAATTTATGATGAGATATTTTTACGATTAGTCCCACTTTCTTTCCTCCCTGTCTGGTATATTTATTTGTCAATCCACAAATTTTACTCAAGTAAGAGTAGATGCTGTAATAGAGCTGCACCGATATTGGAAGATCTGTGCTGACAGTAATATTGCTATTGTGGATGGCAACTAGTGCTGCAGGTAATTCATTTGCTAATTAATAGAGTCATTCCATAAGAAATGCTCACATGCTGCAGGTTTTTCATTTAACCACTTCAATGTATTTTTTATGGTATTAAAATGCATTAAAATGTACACTTCTGTAGGAATCTTTACAAAAAGAGCTAAAAATCCACAATATAAATATAAAACATTTAAGGGATCTGCTACAGGTGGACAAGGTTAGAATTCATTTATAACACAGACTAATATATGATCTACTGTGTTTTCTTTGAATATTAGTTAGTTACTGCGGCTTTTTCTTCCACAGTGGGCGTTTACCCTCGGCCCTCATCTCATTTCCCCTCCCAGTACCACGAGTCGCTCCTCCCATCACCGCCCAGCTGCCTGGGCATAACCTCCACCTGCACATCCCGCTCGTCAGAGGCTTCAGGGGGCACAGAGGCCACCAGAAACATACCTACATCTCCCAGCAGCCTGGTGGTGAAGGAGGAGCCCTGCGATGTGGATGCCGTCTTGATAGAATGGGAGCTGAACGAGGAGAGAGCTGCAGAATCTCAGGAGCAAACAGGAAGTCCATGTCCGGACCAGCAAAGTCCTGATGGGATGCATGATTCACCAGGTGCTTGGACTTGGAATTCATGCACACTTATTTCCTAAATACTATGTTTATTTTGTAAAAAACATCTAATGTCATATCCCACTTCTCTTAGTTCCTGCAGAGCATGTGGAGAACAACGAGGGTCAGATACTGAGGGGAAAAACTCCAATGAATCCTGCTGGTTTTCAAATCTCTGCAGGAGATCAACTGAGGTGAGACGTAGATTATAGCAAAACATAAAAATCAACATTATTTTCTGTCAACTGTGTTAAATACAAAGTGAATGACCATAAAGTTGTGGTTTTCTCATAACATCAAACTTGGACACATTTATAAAAAAGAAAAACCCCTTAAGTTGTTGAAGAGCAAAATAAAAAGATTAATTCTCCAAGAACAGAAGTATTGTTTGTGGTTGCTCTTTAAAGGATGTTAAAACTTCACTCTAAGTGGATTAACTGAAAACGATTCTCAAAATCAGCCATCCTCAGAAAACGCCATGTTTTTTACCTTCGTGTTACAGTTTTTCTGCGTTATGTCCTCCGATTATCTGCCATCACATCGTCGCCTTCATAACACATTGATAATTTTTGAATGAGAAGTTGAAACCACTGTCATGGTGTACAACGGCCCATTAGGACCATTGTAGATAGAAAAGCCACTTGTAAATTTCCCTCCAAAAAAGTTTTTTAGATTAATCTCAGAAATTTCTGCGCACAAACAGTTAATGATTTGAAAATGAAAACTGAGAAATTTTGAGATATATCTGCAAAATTGTCAAAAAAAAACTTAGAAATTTCCTCTGTTTCAAAACTTGAACCTTTTCAATGTCGCTGAATAACTTCCTCGCCTGGTTTACAGCTGCACAAGTTCTAAAAGTTGAAAACTCAGAAATGTGCAAGTTTTTTCTAGAATGCCTAACTCCATTTTTACCAGTTTTTCTGTAGAAATTAACTTTTTTCTATCTACAAAGTCTGTAATATGTCGTCATAAAGGTAAAACTTCTGGAGCCTGTTGAGTTTTTATGTTTCAAAATAGTACCCCATAAAGTTAATTTTGCATCCCACAACAAGCCCAGTTTGGGCCGTGTTTCTTTCTCATTCTGATATGGCGCCGCCATCTTTGTTTCTGTATCAACTGGCTCCACTTGGAGATGAGCAGTGATGCCTCCTGCTGGATGCAGAAGGTGTCAAACTGCAACTTTTAGACGTGCCTCTGCTGCACCACCTGAATAGATAATTAGAGAACTGATCTACACAAGGAGGAGGTAATTAAGCCATTTCATTCCAGTGTTTTGTACCTGTGGATAGCGGCCCTGGAGGACTGACACTTGTTATTAGTTAATTGCCAGGAACGGTTTTTAATCTACAAGTAATCGTAAATTGATTATTGATTTTCACCCCTAATCCAGACCATTTTTGATCTTTTCAAACCCTCCGTCTTTCCTAGGAACAAAAAGAAGAACGTTCCCATGTCGCAGCTGACGGAGGAGGCCCAGAGGCTGAAGAGGGCGGCCTGGAGAGCAGCTTCCAAAAGATACTACGCCCGTAAAATCGCCCGTCAGCAGGCGAGCCTCCATGGCGGCGGCGGCCATGCAGCCAGCGCTCAGCGCGGCTGTTTGGTGGAGGAGCGGAGGAAACGGATGATCTCAGACCTGCCGGAGGAGTCCCAGATGATGCGCAGGGAGATGTGGAGAGCCGCCTCCCGGAGGTACTACGACAGGAAAACGGCTCGCCACCCCACCGAGGGTCTGCAGTACGGACACCTGATAGAGAACCTGGACCCTGCTGGAGCCACTCAGGGACCCAACGGAGAGGGGCCCCTGGTTATCACTGGAATAATGTGCAGCTGATGATCGCGGCCGTGCTTTACAAATGTTTTTATTCAGATTCCAGGGTTTATTGGACGTAGGGAGACCAGGCTCAAGTAATCTAATCAAATCTAAAGGGAAAGTTTAGTGAAACACAAACTTTCCACTTAAATTGTTACATTTTTGTAAGAATATCAAAAGAAAACTGAGATAAAGATGAATGCATCTACAATACAACTAGATCTAAAAATGACTGCAGCTTTCACTGACTGACTGGTTCAACAAACTCATCTGTGTAAACTTTGTTTAACTCGTTCATCTGACATCCATCGAAGGAAGAAACAACTCCAGGTTCTCCAATAGAGGAAAATAAAGAGATTGCAGATTACCCACATTTAATTCAGATTTTTACTAAGCTTAAAGTCCATCCAAGAACATTGTATGTGATGATGCGTTTCCTGCTTGAATTTATGTTTTTCATAAACTCGATGTTTTAGCTGCAGGTTTCTTCTCGTTAGAAAGGCAGTTTCCTCTCCACCGTCGCCATGTGATTGATCACTCTGTCCCTATAAGCAGTTAATCAGTTAATCACATGACAAATTTAAATAATCTAGGTGATTACCTTTATAATTCTTAATATTTCCTGAAGGACAGTTTTAACAGAGACATCAGAACCTGTTTTATTTGTGGTTTTGGTTGTAAGTTGTTCTTATTTGCTTTTTATTTATGATTTTTGTTTTATTGTCTTCCAATTCCAGCGTGGCGTGTCCGTACAAAATTATAGTTTATTAGTCTTTCCATCTGTTACAGATTGATCTTTCTATATGATTGTTTGTGTAAAACGGCCTTCTGGTGTTTTGAATCAATCCAAGTTGAATGATAACATCCAAAAACATAAATGAACTGCTTTTACAAAACTTCTGATTTTGAGTGAAGTTATATATTACTTTTGAGAGAGACAAGAGATGGATAATTGCGTTCAAATAAAATAAAAGTTAGCACAAATGCAACTAACAGGTTTATTTTTGTAGATATTTTTGGTGACTTTTGATTGATTGACATGTTTTTCTCCCACATTGGAGGAAAAAAAGCCTGAGAATCTGAACTAAAACTATATTTTCAATTTTTCTTTCCTGAATTCAACATTTCATTGACACCTGTCTTCATCCCTGGTTCAGTTTTTACATGTTGAATCCTGAGATCTTCCACATTCATCCTGATGTTGTGCATGTGCAGCGCCCCTGGAGTTCAATATGTGTTACTGCACCTACCAGCAGGAGTGAAATGATTTCCCTGTTTTATGTTTTTAAAAATGATAAACTCAGTTTCTACTAAAATAAATCTTTTCATGTTTTGTACCTCTCTCTATTTTCCACATGTTAAATAATAAATATATTTAAATGCAGCTGTGGAAGTCTAATTTCTGGGTTCATTTTAAAAGTTTATAAAATTTCAAAATGACCATTTATTCTTGCATAATAAAAACAACACAGTAATATGAATTTAACTTTTATTATTAATAAGGCACTGTAAGGAGCATACATTTATGTCACTTGCAACAATACCAACAATTTATATTTTTGTGTGAATAAACAGAAGTAAAATTATAACATTACAAGAGGAATATATGATATTTTGCATCCTCTCACTTTTATTAAGAACTTAAGATATTTCTTATTGAACATTTTCCTTGTGTGTAAAAAACAATAATACAAATATTACTTAGATTAAATAAACTAATGTGAAACAACAAAATGAGGTCAGAGTGTAGAAATGACGGCCTGTTTCTGCTGGTTTCTACCTGATTCCTGCTCCATCTGTGTGTCTTTCTGCAGAAACAAAAATATTCAAATTCAAAAACATGCATCTCACATCAGAGACTGTCAACCTGAATCCTGCGCATTCTGACCGCGGCCCGACGCACAGCTGCAGAATCATGACTGTCTCATTGTGACTGCATGGATCTGAAATGTGAGCCGCTGTTCAGCTGCCGCTGAGCGCCTGCGGCTGCGCACATGGCGCTAAACAAAGCCTCTATGTGCGGATGTTTCCACCAACAGAAAGATGTGAAGCGCGATCCTCTCATTCATGTCTGCAGATATAATGAAAGCTTTGTCGTTTCTAACGGACAGAGCTCCTTTTATTCCTGTTTTATGAGCAGAGTGACGCGCAGGAAGAACTGCGCCGCTGTTGTGCCGCTATTGCGCCGCTGTTGTGACGCTGTGTGTCCAGGGTTGGGGTTTCATCTGTGGGGGAATAGTGGAGGATTTGCGGGTGTTTGTAACCGTTCTGGAGAAGCGTGGAGGCGGATGCCCGTCTTAATGGAGCCTGTATGCGGATGTAAACATGGCGGAGGCAGGCAGGTGGAGGCAGGGCGGCTGTAACGCTGCTGGAGGCGGCAGCATCATTTGCATGCAGGTTTGTTTTGGGGGAAACGTCCTCAACGGTCGGAGGAGTGAACACACCCGAGGATTGGTTAATTTTATCCGCTGCAGAAGTGGATTGAAGCCTCCTGAAGCCTGGCTGGAGGCGCAGACTGAGAGCGCAATGACTGGATGAATTCACTGCTTTTCTTTACGCCTTTTTCGCTTCTCTGCTCAGGCAGACCGGACGTTTACGTATTAATGTGTGATCCAGAGCTATTACCCTCCGTTTATAAACATTTAAGCAGTAAATACTTATAAACAGAAAAAATAATAAGCCGTATTTCTAGTGAAGCCACTGCGCCTCTTTCGCTTTCCTTTGCGCTCTTTAAATTTGACTTTATTTGGGTGCAGCTTAATATTTTTTAACCCAAATTGTAATATTTAGATAAAATTTGAATTTTTACCTTTAAACTCAGTGTAACTTCTTGTTTTTTCCTCCCTGGAGCCTTTGGGGACTTCTCAGTGCCTCTGGACACACCTGCTGAATTTGGAGAGGTCTAACTTGGACTCGCTGCGCTCTTTGGGTTTCACTGGATTTTAATCTGGGTTTCAAACTTTCCGTCACCTTTTGAAATCTATTCCGCAAGAAAAACAGCCGGTCTGACCAACAAAGCTCATCAGTTGTGCTTCTGCAGGCTGCCTGAGAGGCTCCAGGGTTTGGAAACGCGCTGAAATCAGCTGAGCGTCTCCAAGGGTTCAGCTGCGCACTCAACGACAACTGCGTCTCTCTAACCACTGCTTGGCTATTGGACGGAGCACAAGAAGTGTGAAATTTTGGGGGTGGCACAGTGTATTTCTAAGGTAGAGTGTTTCATTATTTCACCCATTTGTAATGTTACTTTTGGTGCCATATTGGTGCTTTTATCTGTTTGAGGCCTATGTAACCTTATTTTTCATTTGGAGTTGGTCATTTGGATTTAAAAAATGATTTTGTCCAATTTGATCACCCCCATATATTCAACATACATGGAAGTGTCCTTTTTGCAGGGATTGCTGGGAAGAAGAAGGAGGGTGTCGAGCTTGGGACTTTGGAAAGGCAGTTTTAGTCAGAGCCTGTTTGAAAAGGTAAGAAATCCTCTGTGCTGTTGGGACCAATGGGGCCAAATGTGGGCTGGGAGGCAAATGGAGACTCTTTACTCGGGATATATGGAGAGAAAGTCAACTTTTCAGGTGTATTTTGGTGTATTTGGTGTGTTTTGTAGGCAGGGAGGGTCAGGGCTCTGGGTGTGCACTAACAAGGAAATACGCAGAGGTAGCCAGGGGGAGCCATTGCTGCTCTGCGGGCCTGGGCTGCTGCAGCTGCTGCAGCTGCAGCTGCTGCTGCTGAGGGGATGTGCTGCTTATTATAACACTCACAAACAAAGAACTCCGGATGACGCCTGATTGTTGGAGGTTTTGGACGTTGGTCCAGTTATTGTTTGGGGAATTTCAGCTTGTGGGACCGTCTTCCTCTGAGAAGTGTGACCCAGCAGGAAGAGCTCTGCAGAGGGAAACAGTCAGAAAATATGATCAGATCCCAGAAAACAACCCAAAACCAGACAGTAACATGCAACTGGTGAGCTTTGGGCAGATACTTGATGAAGGATCAGAATATATTTATAGTTAGCCTAGCATTGCTGTTCTGATTGAAAACATTCAAGATGGCCTCTGCTGCCTGGAATCAGGTGAGAAGAGCCTGGCACTTCCTGTTCAGACAGTCAGCTCCCTGCTGCCACCCTGAAACCCAAATGCAGCTTTCAAACAATTTATTATCTCTAAATAACTCATAAAAATGCATCCATGCATAAAATCTGGGCCTAATGTCTGCTGTGTTTCATTAGATGTGCTGAGGCTCCTGTTTAAAGGCTCAGCTGTGATTGGCTGCCTCACTTTTCCGGTTCTTCAACAAAATGACTCTAATTGATTTGCTTCATGAGAACTAATTAACGTTTTAGCTAAGTTTTATCCTTTTAGTTTGAAAGTTGGAGCTAATTCTCGCTTTAAAACATTAAAATGTCTCACAATCGTGATGTTAAATGGCTGAGGTTATTTTTTAAAGGTTTGCAATAAATACTAGGCCAATTAAATCAGCACAAAGGGTTAATTTAGAGCTGAAAACAGCTTTCAGTTTACCAACCTAAAGTCACATAATTTACAAAAGAATACACTTTAATTTTCATTATTTTAAGAAATGATTACAGAATACAATATATTTGGTAGATAAATCATATTTGAAAAAGAAACCCAATGATTAACCCTTTAGTTACCTGCATTATCTGTTGGAATTTGTTGTATTGTGCTGAGAAAAACGGATTTTCTCCTTTTCCCAGTGAGTTTTCTGAAAGAATAACAAAACAAGACTAGTTAAAATACAGAAAAAAATCTAATAGTCTTCAAGCAGCAAATGTTTAGATTGTCATTTATAATCAGCTTTATTATGAAAAATGGCCCCTTTGAAGCAGCAGTATAATGTGGTATAAATAAATGTGGTATAAATCATCACAACCGCTGTGATGATTTTAATTATTCAACACAGCCAGGTTTTAAAACACCAAACAAGTTTAATTTGATCTATTTAAGTGTCTGAAACTTGAGTTCCTGGATATTAAAAATAAATCAGGTAATTTTTTCAGATGAAATCAATTTAAAGCCCCTACTTGGCCCGTTTTTCTGCTTTTAAAGGCTTAAGCTGAGGCAGTGGTTTCAGTCCAGAGCTGTGGTGCTGAAATCAGGCGGAGGTTTCTGGGAGCGGGTGAAATACCGCCCCCTTGTGGCGCTAACAGGAAGAGAAAGTAACGCGGAGATCATGACGCCCAGAGGTTGTAATGTGGTTCTTTTATCACCAGAACCGCGGCTGTGGTGTGGCTGGTTCCGGTCCATTCAGGAAGTTAAACACTGTCGGAGTTTTAAGGATGAATCTTGGGTGTCGGATATCAGAATAAGCCTGAGATCATGTTTCTGTGAGAGCTTCCGTGACGTCATAAACTCGGTCATCAGCCGCCCCGCAGCTGCTGGTCGTGTCACACCGAGGAGCTCTCGGCTCGGTCCGTGGAAACCCGCAGACTAAGCTGCGTCATGAACAAACATGGAGGCTGTTAACTCCTTCATGGCTGCCAACGGCGTCCGGCCAGGGACAAAAATCTGCCAGTCAGAGCTGGAACGTTCCAGTTTAACCAGTTCTTTCAGTCATCATGCAGCAGAAGATACCATCTTCAAAAAAAAGTTTTAAATTATTGTTCAACTAATGCATTTGTTGTCGCCATTTTGCGGATTAGCTTAAGTGCCGCAATTAGCGACAATTAAACTTCGTGTGGAGGGAAAAAAACTCATCCGTTGAAAAGGCTAATATTAGATTCATAAACTCAAAAACAAAGGATATTATATCTATAATTTCAGTATGTTTTATAAACGCATTATATAGTTCCAGTCAGTTATAGTTTTTCCCCATTAATTACCATTTTTGTTTATTTCAACTAGCAAAAATGTTTTCTCAATTTCAGTTTTTGTTATTTATTTGTTTGGGTTAAATATAATAATCTCAGTTCAGATCCTAGATTAATTTTTTTTCAGGGTTCTAATGTAGAAATGATGTCCAAACGCCGCAGTGGTTTCTATTCCAGCCGTCCTTGGTGTCTGAATTGAGCTGAACTCCCATTAAATTCCCTTCATCAAATGGATCAGAACAAGTTCAGGGAATGAAATCTGAAACCAGCTACATTGTTTTATTAACTCCGTATTAATATTAAAAGTTTAAATGTGTTTTTCATCAGTATGATCATAAAACCCCCAAAACAAAGCAAATGTTTTGTTTTCTTAGAGAAACCGTTTCTCCAGCAGCAGTGGCGCCTCCAGAAGGCGGGTGAATGAGATTGCTGAGCTAGTTTCCGCGGTAGCGTAAAGGAGATGAGATGCATGAGAGCAGCAGGAGTTTTAACAGAACAAACACACCAGCAGCTGGAACCAGACAGAGCTGGATGATGGACGACGTCTCTTACCAGGAGTCTGTTACTCAGTTTGTTGTTGGTGTGGAACGAACCGATCCCAGAACCGATCCCAGAACCGATCCCAGAACCGATCCCAGAACCGATCCCAGAACCGATCCCAGAACCGATCTCAGAACCGATCCCAGAACCGATCCGAAAGGCCGTCCCAGGAAAACATCGGCTTTAACCCAACAGGGAGACAAAAGACTCACTGCTGCTGGAAATGCTGCTCATAATGGAAATAATCATGAAAAACTATAGTTTTGTGTTTTACTTTGGATGGTTAAAGTATCTTCCAGTTCCAGAACTTGTTATTGTGCCATTATGAAAACATATTACCTGAAAATGATCTTAAAACAACAATATATTATTTATCGCAATAATTACTGGGACAATTTATTGTCCAGCAGTTTTTTGTTATGCTGAATAATCTTTCCTTCCTCTGCTGCAGATCATCGTCACCATGATGGATGAGGAGATACAAGAGGACCACAGCAAGCTGAAGCAGGGCCTAGTCAAAGTCCTCCAGTGCGTGGCCACCATCTCGTCGGCGGCGGCCGTGGTCAACCCCATCTTCGGCGTGGCGGGCTCCCTGATCCGGGTGGTGCTGCACCACGTGGACGATGAGGACATCCGCACGCTGAAGCGCGAGTTCGGCTCCGTCCACCAGAAGCTGGACGAGCTGTCCCAGCAGAACCGCCGGACGCTGGTCCAGATCGAGAAGGAGACGCTGGACGGCCAGTACTGCCACGTGGAGGAGAACCTGAAGAACCAGTTCAGGAAGTTCATGGCCATGGTGGAGGCGCGACCGGAGCATCGCGACGGCAAGAAGGACGACTTTGAGGAGAGCTACGCCAACGACCTGGGCGACCAGAACCTGCACACGCTGTACGACGGCGTGGTGGGCAAGCGGAAGCTGTTCAGCCGGCCCATCCTGGAGGTGTACCTGAAGCACTCGCAGGGCGACCGCCGCGTCATGGAGCGCCTCTGCACGCGCCTCACGTACCTGTTCTGCATCGGCCTCATCGCCCTGATGGGCTACTCCGCCATCATCGGCGACGACGAGGAGGGGCTGAGCGAGGAGTGGGCCGAGAAGATGGAGCATGTGCAGGAGAAGATGCAGGAGGCGCTGCGCAGGTGCACATGAGGAGGAAGGGAAAGCTTAGCATTCCCACTTCAACTCCCGCTCTCTCCGTCTGCATAATCTCCTTTTACCGCGCGAACCTGAAGGCAACGTCTGCCAAATCCTGCTGCACGCAATCAGGCTGTTGATTGGCTGCTTTCACATCACAGCCAATTAAAACATGGAGCTAAATTCACATTAATCCAATAAAAACATTTAGATTTAATTTAGTTTTTAAAAAAGCATTTAGACACAAATGTGTATTTTTGGGTCAGATCAGAATCTAAGAAACAAGAAAAAAAAACACAAAATATTTTGTGTTTAATTTTTGTTTAATCAGACAAAACTAAAATATATAAGCTTGTTTTAAGTCAATAATTCATGTGGGAAGATAAAGAAATACTAGTTCCACTGGCAGATTATTTTCACCAGCAACAAAACATTTTTTCTGTTTCCTGTGGAAAAATCTGCCAGTTCAACCAGCACTTTCTTTGACTTAAAATAAACTTATTACTCATTTATTCCTTTTTAACTTTGTTTCTTTTCAAATGTGCTAATATATTTAGAATAGAAACTGGAGGCATTATTTGGTAAGACCCGGTGTTTTTGCAGATAACGTCTATAAATATCAACCCGTCTATCATGAAACTGCTTTAAAAGCTGCATCAACATGAAATATCTGCATGTTGCATCCATCATATAAATAATATTTCATCGTTTTTATCTTTTATATTCCATGAAGCGTCAGTTAAAGTCCAGTTTCATGATATAAAATCACTTTTCGGCACTTTGTGTTGGGAAGCTGTTGCCATAGTAACCACAGTTTCCAGAATGATGAATGTAAAAAAAAAAAATAAAAAATTAATAAAATCACCATGTATGACTTGTGATCACACTGCCACCTTCACGTTCAGTTATGTAATTTCTTTTTACATATTATTAGTCGTTATTATGAGCCGAGATCTTTATTTAGGTGATGAAACTTTATATTTTAGTAAAAGACACTAAGTGATGAAAATAGGAAATTGCTTTTGTTTCCAGTCACACTACACTTTCTTATTCTCTGTTGGGAGGAAATCAGTTTAATTTTGATGATTGGATTAATCTTCTGTGCAATTTTTGTGTAAAAATCACATTTTTGTTTCCTGTCTGCAGCTTTTTAATGAACAAGGAGCGGCACCAAGTGTTGGTCTCTAATGTCTGACAGAGAATTTTTTCTTTTAACCTGTAAGAATTCACTTGATCATCACTTTTCTTTCTTTGTCACTTCCTGTTTTCTCTTTGCCTGTTTTTTTTTTTACCCTGAGTGCCTGAATGTGTCAGAACCTGCTTATTTTATTTTTATATATTTGATGCGCCTCCGGGTGGGGAGGGAGGTTGAGCCTGCAGACCACAGTCCAGATTTATTGTCCATATTTTGGGGTTTTGTGTTCTTGAATGGAACCCGTCCTGCTCGGCTCTGAGCGGATCGGGTTTGTGGTTCTGGATCGTCCCACTTATTGTTACAACACTATTAAAGCTTAAAGCTTAAAACTGGACCCTGAACGTCTCCTGACATGTCAGATATGTGAATATGTTCATGTTTTTTTGTTTTGTGTGGGTTTATAAACGTTTGCATCGACATAAATAAAGATGTGAGAAGAAAACTTATTGACTAACTCAATTATTTCACATAAACTGAGCAACTTTACTACTGAATGAAAGCTACTGTAGCTAAAAACATGCACAATATATGCACTCTGCTTTATGAATCTTTTTGTTTTATTTGGCTGTAATTGTAAGAAAATATCTTTTAAAACTCAGTTTTTATTTTAAAGTTCCTTCCATGCTTTATTAATATTTCTTTAAGCTGTAATTATCTATTTCATCAAACTACATTTGGGAATATTGCAATTAGACTAACCTGCTAATCTGAGATGTTTATAGTTCAAAAATAAAGTTTGAAGGTTTGAACTATTAAAAAAAAATATTCTTTTACTAATTTCAATAATTTTTACATCAATAATTTCAAACCTTTCAACCGATGTTTTAGTCCACAGATTTTCTGTTTTAGTGTAGAAATAAAATCCTGAGTCCAACAGAGAACCAAACGTCTTCGCATGTTTGCAGCTGAATCAGAAAATTCAGCTGAGAAACAACAAACCTCCAGGAATCAATGAAGTTTAACTTCAAGTCTTCCTCAGAATCAAATGGAGGTTAAATCAAATCTGACAGATTTTAGGTTTTTATGTGAAATGACTGAAAAATTACATAAAGTCAAAATCTCTGCATATAGAAATGGGATGAAGCATCAAATCTACAGACATTTATACCTGCAGATATAAAAGTAAAACCATCTCAATTTGTTTTATGTTTTGGTTTAAGTCACTTTCTGAACTTGATGCTATTTCAGGAGAATTTATCAAAACTGTTTCCATGTTCTGAGTTTAAACCTAAAACTCAGGTTTAAACTCAATAATAAAGATTATTATTACTATAAAAGCATAACTTGAATCCAAAGTTGATGATTTTGTACAGAAATGCTAAGTTAAGTGAAGAAAACCAAGCTGACATGCAGGTTTCAGACGGCTGGAGTCTTATTTCAGTCAGGGACGAATTCCCTGCAGAAGCTGCAGCAGGTCAAAGTTCAGATCCAGAGAGTTTAAATTATTCAGTGATACTCAGATTTTCAATTCTGACCTCACTTTGCTGCATAACTTGATTCTTTTTAATCTGTTGTTTGAAAATATGTTTTATTTTTGCAGTGACATAAAACTATAAGCTTCTGCTTCAGAGCTACGTAAAAATTGATGATTTATAGAAATATGACAGAAATATGATTAATATCAGCGCATGGAAGGAGCTTCAAGTGAATAAAATAAAAAAATAATACAAGTTTGAAACATATTTTCTTATATTTTGTTTTAAAAACATTTTGCACCGTCAGTATGAGGACAGCAGATAAAAAATGCTGACATGTCCAGAATTCTCTCCTCTGGTTAATTCTTTACATTACTTACTATTTTTATTTGTTCATTTAATTAGATTCTTTAGATTTTGTCAAATAAAGTCTGAAAACTGTTACTTTACATGTGAAATAAATGATAATAATTCAGTCAGAGTTCCTGACCTTTGACTCCATTCGGCCTTTTGGTGTTCAGTCTAAATCTGACTTAATTTTGAAAAAAACAGATTTCAACGTGTGCATATGCAGAACCAAATGAACAAAAGATAGATTTTCTTAAAAGATAAGAAAGTTAAAATGCGTAAATGAACTTGCATTTTGCTCATTTCTCCGCCAGGGGGCGAAAACGCCTCATTTGGCTGCACGTCACACCTGTTTTCTGAACTCCAGGGACCTGAGAGCTCAACGCGTCACATCTGCGCTCCGTCAGAGAGAAGCGGTGAAGAAAACCCGCAGCCCTCCTTCCTGCCCCGCAGGACGCAGGGCGGGTCAGGGAACCAGTCCGACTGGCATCGCGCAGAGTTCGGGAACCAGCAGGAAAATGTGCGTTGCAGGAATTTGTAGAACAAACAGAGACGCTATAAAGTCTTGAATCTCTCACCTGCGCTGCGGATTATTGAGGCTCTTTGCGCCACATCATCATCATCCTCATCATCCGTCATGTGATGAAGGTTTTTCCATCTCGGCTCCTTTCGATGAATCCATTTTCACCTGAAGAAAATATGAATCATTTCATGAGTTTTTGGCTGCTTTAATGACATGACGGATTTTTGCGCATTAAAGTGAAACAACAGTGAAATATTTTCTGATTTAGAGGAGAAATAATTCCTGTTTGTGGCTTCAGATGTGCAGCCTGGGTGTTTTCATGGCGCGTCATGCGCGCACACAAGAGACACTGCAGGGAACATTTTCAAATATAAAGAATAAATCATCTGACTAATAAAAAAGAAAAATAAACCAATTAAAGTTCAGATATAACCTTGTATCCTGCCTCTTTTAGCTCAGTGCTTATAAATAAAATATCAGCGTTTTCCTCTAAATCTGGAAATTCATTCAGACATTTACAGCATCGGGTGAATTTTAGGCCTCACTGGATATTAATTTTAATAATCCTGTTTATCATATGAGGGCGGCAGATATTTTTAGATCTTACCTTCTGTTTGGATCCGTTTAAACGCAATAAAATCTGCAGAAGATCTTTAAAAAATATAAATAAATATGTGCGTAAACTAATCTAATAAAACGAAATCTCTTTTGTTGGAGAAAATCAAATGTTCCTTCGTTGAGGATAGGAAAGAAAATGGACCCTCTGCAGATTTTTGCGCTCTCTCTCTCTCTCTCTCTCTCTCTCTCTCTGTCTCTCTCTCTCTCTCTCTCTCTCTCTCTCTCTCTCTCTCTCTCTCTCTCTCTCTCTCTTCTGTTTCGGCCTACCTCGCTCTCCCTCTTGCAGATACTGTGTGCGCACCTTCCCTGACTCCATCCTTGGACCCCTGTCAGCTCCACAGTTGACTTGAAAGCAGTGGGAATATTTTCTCTCTCTCACTGGAAGTGGGATAAAACCAAAAGTCCAACTTGTCGCCACTGGTCCGTGAAGGAGCAGCAGATCCTCTCCGTTCAGGTAGAGAAACCGGCGCTGCTGCAGCTGCAGGAATGATTTGAATGTGTTTATCTTCCGTCTGAAGGGGGGAACACGGAGGGGTGTGTCTGATGCTGTCAGGGGATTTGTGCGTAAAAAAGGCTTCCGTTGCGCATTTGCTCTGGGTGCGCATGACAGCTAAACATGATGCAGTTTGGAAACAGAGGACAAATCTTACTCTGGTATTTTTCCTCATATATGTGTTGATATTTAGACTTTGTCTCATTTTCTCTCTCATCTGCATGAAGTAAAAAACAATGTGATTTCATAAAATTTGGTTACAGTTTGATGGGATCAGAAGGAGAATTTATCCAGGTTTCCGACTCATTTAAGGGATTTTAAAACTTGCTCCTTCCTTCCTCTCTCAGATGAGTCATGCAAAGATCAAGTGCGTCATTTTCTGCTCTCAGCATCTGCGGCTCCCATCTTGTTTGTTACCTGCAGCCATGTGATGTTTTATTTTCCAGCCAGACTGGAGCAGACATGATAAACCATGGCCTGTTTTAGATTCAGATTCACTCTGCAGCCTTTTAAAGCTGCAGTTTCTGATCTTCGTCCTGCTTCGCAGCAGCTGACCTCCGACCTTGAGGAGAGAACAATCTGCTGTTTGCTTCATGTTTTGCTGGGATTGTTGTGGTGAAGCTGATCCTCGTCCCTCATGTCTCACCATGTTTGGATTATATGACAAAACAGACTCCACAGCTGAAAAACCAGCTGCAAAATTGCTGTATAATGTGGCTAATAACCAGCATAATGTATAAAATGACTTTATCTGCAGTGGAGGAAGACTGGGACACTTCATATGATCAAACCATCTAAGCTTCTGGAAAGTGATAAATCTCCTTTAAGAGGATCAAAAAGTCATCAAGACTCAAAATATACAATAAACATTTAAAAATATGAGGTATTTCAACTATTTTTGTTTAGTTGAAACCAATAATTTTTCACACATAAACACAGCATGAAATCTGGGATAATTACTGGTCCAGTACTTAGAGGACGAAATGATTTATCAATGCTTCATATCAGTTTCCTCTGCAATAGAAATCATCAGTGTTTCATATTTATGCCATCTTGTTATATGGAAGAAGAAAACAGCTCCAGTCTGAATCTGTGGATCTGTTTTAGCAGTGATCCTGTGGATCTGTTTTGAATCTGTGGATCTGTTTTAGCAGTGATCCTGTGGATCTGTTTTAGCAGTGATCCTGTGGTGATTTTCATGGACTGGACTCAGGGGAGGTTTTGGTTTGAGGATCATTTCTCAGATTTCTTTACATGTTTTCTGCATTTCCAGCTCACAGATTTAAGAGGCAACATTAGAGCCAGTGTTGGGCTCTGCTAGCTAAACAGTTAGCTATGCTAACTAAAGCGCTAATCATGAACGTTAATGTTAAAGTGTTACCAACATAGTATTTAGCAGAAGCTAATGCTAAAGCACTAAGTTCAGCCATGTTGGTTCCTCCCTGAAGAGGCTTTCAAAAGAATTGATCTGAATTTTACTTGTATTTCTGTAATTATCCACGCTGGTGTTTAGTTACAGTGTTGCTGTAAAAGTGTTTCTGTTGTTGCCATTCACTGAATAATGTCTTCAAAAAGAGAAAATGTGTTGAGAGGAAGCAGAACTGCTGCATTAACAGTCCTCTGAGCCCCAAACGGATCAGAACATTAAAAAACAACTTTTTCAAATTAAACAATTCCAAACATTTATTTGAAAACTTGTTGAAAATGTATGCATCTCCAGGATGAAACTTTCCTCATGATGAACACAAACCTCGCTTGTGTCGTCTCCTCTCTGAACTTCCTGTTTCAGGGACAAAATGACGAGTCGTCTGGAGAAAATGGTGGCTGAGAAGAAGGAGACCATCGAGGCGCTGATGGACATGTTTGAGAAGGGCGCCGAGGTGCTGGCGAGCGCCGTGGGGGAACTGTTCCCGCTCTGCGAGGCGGCCGCTCCGGTCCTCAAGCTGGTCCTGAACAACGTCCACAGTAAGGAGGTGTTTTACGTCAAAGAGCAGTTCCTGACGGTGAGGAGCAAGCTGGACGTGCTGTCCAACCAGCTGGAGGACATCGAGTCCGAGCTCAGGAGGGGACACCTGGACCGAGACTACTTCTCCGTGGAGGAAAACATCCGGAACCAGTTCAGGAAGTACATGGACATCTTGGAGGCGAAGCCGCAGTTCAGGGAGGTGAAGAAGAAGCTGTTCCTGGATCACTTCACTAAAACCGGTGGAGAGAAGAACCTCAGTGTGCTGCACGATGCTCTGATGGGAACCAGCAGCTTCAAAGATCCCATGTTAGACACAGTGGAGAGGTAAACTCACTGAGAGCCGTCAGCCGCGTTCCCATCACAAGCATAAATAAGAAACTTCATTAAAATCACGCATGAACAAATTTGTTCACTCAATAAATGGATGAATAGGCACCATCATCATCATCAGCCTCCCTCCTGTCGTTTCAATTGCAGTTTTGCAAAATAAGCCAATTTCAATTCCGCAAAAATAAACAAGAAAAAAAAAACATGTCTGCTCATCAAAGATGTTTAATAGAAAACTAGTTTTTTCAAAATTGCCATCTTTCCATTAAGAAAATTTATTGTCAGAATTTGCTTAATGAAATATAAAAACAACAATGAAACCTACTTAACATTTCTAAAAATCAATACATACATTATCAACAGAAGAGTTTTCACTGGTTACAAAAACACAAACCTAGTGACAAATTTTCTGCCTTTTTGCTGCCTGTGAAAAACCTGCAGGATAAGCAGCATATAGAATGATGAGAAGTTTTAGCTCAAGCCTTTTGAGCAGATCTTCAATGTGGGGCTTAAAAGTTACATTTTCATCTTTGGTAATGCCAAGATATTTATATGATGGTTCAATCAATGTGCACAGCCTGGTGATGACATCACACAGGCCATCTTCCTCTGGTCGGAGCATAACATGGCGCCGCCCTCAATGTTACTGCATTCACTAAGTTGTAATAGTTGGAAACACAAGAGCAACAAATATATCACAGCAAGACATCACTTCATCATCTGCATGCAGATGCACAATGAACCAAATTATTAATATAGATGGTAAACAGTGTAGGTCCTAAAACTGACCCTGTGGAACGCCCAGGAGCGTCCATGTTACTTGGACTGGCATGTTGTGTCCTCTGTTTACGGCATATTCAGTAAACCCTACGCCCAAAAACCTCTTGATTTCTGTTCTTATTTACTTAAATCTCTTGATGGAGCATCGATTGGAAATAAACTCTACAACTGCTTCTGTTTGGCAGGTATGTTGGGAGGAACCGGCGCCTCCTGGAGGACTTCTGCGTCCGGATGAAGGAGCTCTTCTGCCTGGGTTTGATTTCTCTGCTGGGCTACTGCACCCTCACCCAGAGCCCAGAGGAAGAGCAGGACAAGATCCGAGAGTGGAGCACCAAAATTGAAGAGGTAGAGTCCAAGATGAAGGCAGCCATCGAGTCCTGCATAGCTGCGTTTCCAGAGCAAGCGAAACTAGACGTGCAGCGCCTCCTGCAAGAGACAGAGGAGGAAAGTCTTCAGGATGCACCTCAGAGTCTTCTGGAGTTCCTTGTGAAAAAGTACGACTGGGTCTCCTGGTCTGTGCGGCTGATCAAAAACTCAGGCAAAGCCTTTGAGAGCCTGCGAGCCGGGAAGCACTTCCACCACGTGGCGGGACAGAACTGGTTTGAGGTTCTTCAGGTGAACGACGTCAGCCTGGTGGTATCGTTCAGCACCGCGCCTCAGCCGGTTCCCAGCGACTGCCTTCGGCAGCTGATGGAGGGTCCGGCCAGGAAGGGCAACGCTCTGGAGGCGGTGGAGGCGCTGGAGAAGCAGCTGAGCGGGTTCATCGTTCACGCCATCAGTCGGCACAAAGAGTCTGCAGCCGCGTGGAGCTTCCCGGAAGAATGCCACTACTGGGAACGCCACAAGAACGTGGCCGTGTGTGTGCACTCGGAATAACGCTCAAGAGCAGGGTTTCAAGATTTATCATCCATTTAAAGGGGCAGTGTTACGTATATTGTCTCTCTCTCTTTAAAAAAACTCTTGCTCTTCCAAACACTCCACCTTCTGTATGTCATCAAAACTCCTTTCCTTTGAAGCAATTATCAACGTTTTTACCCACTTTGCACTGAGAAGCAGCTCGTGTGATCACTTCAACAGATACGTAGTTCCACCAGTGTTTGCTAACTGCTGCTGCCACTAGTCTGGAGGAACTGAATGGGGAGGGGTGCTCTGTAACAAAGTCGATTTTACATAACACTGCCCCTTTAACTGCAGAAACCTTCATCCTGCTGCAATGAGGAATCAAATATCATTATGTATCCCTGTATCAGCTGAATATACCTGCCATCCCATGTGTCCTGTAGCTACTTTAACACCTTTAAGACCCAAAGTACTGTGTGGATCCTCCTTCATGTGACATGCAGTTCATTTATTTAACTGCATTCAGAAATAATTTCTATCACTGACATGTTTAACACAATGAACATAATGTTGATCCCAGACAAGTGAAGTGTTTATCTAGTGCGTATGAAACTCCAGTCTGGATCACTTTAAGCAGAATTTCACTCCATCTTCTTAACTTTGACCTCAGCCGCTTGCTGTAACGCTGCCGCCTTCATTCAGCCCCACAGAAAAGGCTTTGCTGACTCGGCGTCTTCGTCCCAGAGCTCCATGTTTGTCCCCAGCAGGCTGACCTACATAATAACTCTGACAGGGAACAGAGGCAACGTCTTCAGGCGGGAGACGTCACAATGTGCCTTAAGCTCCAGAATAAAGAAACACCCAGCCGGATCTTTAAAGCTGCAGTATGTAACTTTTATAAAAATATGTTTTTAAACATTTGTTCAAATTGTCACCATGTTGTCACAGTTTGTTATGAGATAGATAATCTGTGAAAAAAATCCATCTCCTCCACTTCCTACATGAGCTACGATTACTGACAGAAGAAATGCATCAAAACAACCAATCAGAGGCAGGAGGAGGGGCTTGGCGCTGTCAATCACCCTCACGTACTTGCTGGTCAGCATGCTAATGACAGAGAAACAACTTAAACAACGGAGAAACAATGGCTGATAAACAGGAAAACCGTTTATCAGCCATTGTCTGTCGTCATGCCAACACATGACAAGCTGCGCTAACTGTAGCGTAGCAAAGTCCAAAGGGGAGAGGAAGTAGGCTGAGCAGCGCCACATGGAGAGGTGACTGACAGCACTAAGACCCGCCCCTGGCTCTGATTGGTTGTTTCTCATTAGCAGTGGGAGAAGGCAGCTTGATTTTTGTTTGTTGGAAGACTCTCCATCACGGCATGTTTTACTAAATCTGAATGCTTTTTGCATTAATTTTAACTTTCTGGATGAATACTGGACCTGCTGTCTTCTTATGCTGCCATTTCTCTTCTGAATTTTGTTTGAATATGAATGGCAGTGAAATACTTTCCTCTATCTGCTGTTCGCGATTAACATGAGGAGCAGGAATGTTTCGCTTCTTTATTAACAATAAAAACTTGAGCATGATCAGCAGTTGAAATGTTCCTGTGATGATTTTTAATGATTACCGACAAAACAAGCTGTGAATGAGTAAACACGTGTAGCCGGATATCTGTGCCTGTTGCACAAATGGGTTTAATGCGGTGCTGTTAGAGCCTGGTCAGTGTTAAATAGTGGTGCAAACTCAGCAACAGAGACTGGAGCTAATTGAATTAATATTTACACTTCAGTCAGCGATTCTCTGACCACAGCAGCTCTGATGTCCTGCAGGCGAGCAGGAAACTGCTGGGCTTAGCAGGACGCCGTCAGTCATAATGTGCAAAGCTTGTGGTCTTCATTTCATATCTCTGTGGATCAGCAGGGTCTTTAGCTGCTCAGCCTCTCTGTCGTAAATCAGCCCTGTCAGAATCCATCCAGTTTTATCAGGAACAAACAGCACAGAGCAGCAAAACGACGTTTCCGTTCTGAGACGACCGGCGGCTGATCAGAGCTTTTATAAGCAGAACTGGAAACGTTTTTTATCAAGATTCGGTTCATTTCTCTGTGAAACGCTTTGCTGAGATACAGAAGAAAGAAAAATATACTTTTAACTGAAACTGTTTTTGTGGCAGATGTTTGAGTTGAAGGAATAGAAGAAGCTTCTGTACATAAATGTGAGCAAAATAAATTCACATTATACATCTAGAATTTGCTCTAATTTTGGTCAGATGTGAAATAAAGACTCATTCTTGTTCGTTAGAGTTTTATGTCAACTGGTGACGTTTAATGGTCCCAGCTTCAGCTTGATTTAGCTCCAGTACAATTCGGCAGTTAAACACCAAAATATATTCAACTGGATTATTCAACCACAGAAGTATTAAAACTGACTTTCCTCAACAAAGGTATCGGTCAGGAGAAGGGTTTAAGTAAGCACAGTAATTGTAATGATACATAAAAATAACATTTGTTACGTTTCAGCTAAACAAGAAGAGAAAAATGAATGATTCAGTTTCAGGTTTATTTTGAAATGACCAAAATATGTTCACATTTTCTGGTAAAATTTTGATTTCATCTTTATGATGTATAATTTTTTTTAAAAGTGGAGAACATAAAACTGACTGGAGTCAAATATTTAAATCACTGAACATCAGTAAACAATTAGAAAATGGTCCATTTGTGCTAACATGTTGACATCTTATTGGTGTTGATCTGTTTCACCTTTCTGTCATTCAGCTTCACTGCAGCTGAATGACAAACAGCTAGCAGACGTTAGCGATAGCTAGCAGACGTTAGCGACAACTAGCAGACATTAGCGATAGCTACCAGACGTTAGCGACAGCTAGCAGACGTTAGCGATAGCTAGCAGACGTTAGCGACAACTAGCAGACATTAGCGATAGCTACCAGACGTTAGCGACAGCTAGCAGACGTTAGCGATAGCTAGCAGACGTTAGCGACAACTAGCAGACATTAGCGATAGCTAGCAGACGTTAGCGACAACTAGCAGACATTAGCGATAGCTAGCAGACGTTAGCGATAGCTAGCGTCAATTTTTAAAACTATCCAGCAGAACATTAAATTAGATTTACAACCCAAAAGGGCTGAACTGTTTTCTAAATGACCAACAAACAGAACAAAGAAATTAATATTTCTGAAATGTGAAATAAGAATTGTAAGTAATATTTTATTTTAAAAAACCAAACTCCATCAGCCTCATCGTATTTGATGTTATCACAATTAAACAATTCATTTATTGTCTTCAGAAATGTGATATTTCACATTCAACATCCAACAGATTCAGACTGCAGACTGACGTTGGTCTGAACACCTGCTGCCCTGTTGAACAAAGTCAGGAAGTCCAGACAGGTGACTAATGCTTCTAATGCAAGAAGACTTCAAGCCTTTAGAGAAAAACAGCAGAAAATATACAGACAGAAAAACCAGAGAGCAGACCTCTGAAATGTCACCAGACAACGACTCAAGAAAACCAGCAGGGGATCAGCAGAAAAGAACCTCCAATTCACACGAGACAATACATTTGATCTACTCTAGTTTCTGTATTTATTTCTCCCTCCTCTGCCTTGTGCAGACATGAGGAGAGCGGTTTGCTGCAAACAGAGCCAGAGGATTCATTAGTGGTTGTGGGCTTTGCCTGGGTAACAGCTATTGATCCTGGAGCATAAAACGCTCTCAGTGTGGCAACGCGTCAATCCTGGCCGTCACCCAGGCTACACGCTGAAGCATCTGAGGTCCAAAAAGCTCCTGAAATAATAATAATGGAGTTCAGATGGTGCTGGATGAGGTTTGCAGACAGAGGGCGCTATCAGCACACAGAACCTGTTTGGTACTGAAAGTGAGTTTAATAAATCATGAAATTGGGGAAAATCCACATGTTGCATCTCCAGAAACCTGCAGCTGCAGGTGACATTTTTTATTCTACCTTCCAGGTGAATGAAATTATAAATATCTCATGGAGAAATTCATGTTCATAAATCTCCCTGGATCCTGAAACACTTTCCATCAAGCAGCGTCTCCAAGAGGAGATAGCAGCCAATATCAATATTTCATAAACAATATTCAGGCTGAATGGAGGCTGACATCAGAAAGTCAATCAATGTTAGGATGTCTCTCTCCGCCAGCGCCTGCCAATCCTGGCCCCTGCAGGATAACGCATTTACCCATCAGGCCGATGGGCCGGATCGACCGCCCTGCTGCTCTCCGAGTGGATTAATCCAATAAAGAGCTTTAAAACATTTATTCAGTGACACTGGCTGCAGGTCAGAACCACCAATCCAGTTTGCTCCGGTCCTGCCAGCTTGGAAATCTAGAAGATTAAAGTTTTGGAAAATTAAGTGTTTTAAAAATTAAAGTTATTAAAATTGAAGCAGTTATTGCATTCAAACCTGATTCTACTGACTCAGGATAATCTGACAGCATATTGAGGTCTGTTGAATTTAATTTTTCATCTGTTGGCAATGAACAAAGGAGTAAATTCCCACCGGATTGATTGGTTGATTGGTTGATTGGTTGCTAGTGGAGATCCTTCCTGCCCACAGCATCACCATCAACAGTGACTCTCCAGAGACACTTTGATAATATGAGCTATAACAACATTTAACTCATGGGATAATTAAGGTGTTTTGGGTTTAAAAAGATTTTAAATCCTCAGAGAGGAATCCGTTCTAAAGTGTCTCCGCCATCACGTCCTCATTCTGTCCCGTTTAAACGTCTTTTCTGGCTTAACGTCAATATTTACACACGTCCAGCTGGACTCTGGCAGCAAAGCTTTGTGTGATTTCCAACATGTCGTCTGCAGCTTTCTGCTTTTTATCATCAGGAATTCATTAGTGAGATTTACCAGCCTTTGGTGACTGAAAGTGCAGTAATGTTCCAGAGAAAACAGCAAAAGCAGGCCAGAAATCCCCCGATTTGTTGGTGTGAGTTCAGAGATGAGTGGCTGAGCCGCCTGGACGCCGCGGGGGAGGAGGAGCTGATGATCTCATGGGCTGGGAGGTAAATGAGTAAAAGCTTGAGAAAACAGAAACGAAGGCGGATAAAACCAGGAAACGCCACGTCACAGAGACTCTGAGATTAATCTAAAACATCAACAATCAGGAGAATCCTTCAGAACCTCGATCCAGTTTCATGAAGTTTTAGTCAGTTTTAGTTTTTGCTGCAGAAGCTGTGAAGACGCTTCCTGAACCTCTGCAGCCTTGGAAACAGAAACTGTTTTTATCTGGTTAAATAAATAAAAGGTTATTAGTAACAATGAAACTGAGACATATGGAAATCAGAAGATTTTTATTTTCTGTTCAGTGATCTGATCGGAAACAGCGTATAAATAAATAATTTAAACTAAAGGTTTCACTACACAATACAAGAAACATTTTTGCACAATATGTGCAAAACAAAATGTTGAAGAGTTGGCAACTTTGTATCACTGAGCGCCATCTGCTGGGGGAAAGTTTGGAGCAAAAATAATTTATGTTTGTAAAATTCAGAACCTATAAAATGCAGAATCCATGTTAAATCAGGAATTTGCTTCTTTTTTTAAATTCAACTCTTAAATTGCAACATTTTCTTCTGTTTTATTCTCTATAATCTGAACATGACTGAAACACATCACCATGACCATCACACTAATGTAAAAATATTTTATCATTTTTAATCAAAGTGGCAGGAATGTGCTTCCATATAAGAATTTACAACTGAACAAATGAAAAGTATTTATTTTTTTGTCTGTCATTCTAATTTATTTTCTGTAAAACAAAACAATTGTCACATTTATTTGTCAAGTTATTTAATTTTCCAAACAACAATTAATAATTTTTATCTTATTTTTGCAGAACAAAGTCAGAAAATAACATTTAATCTCTATTTTTGAGGCTATATGTAAAATAGCTTTTAATAATTGTTAATTTTTCAATATTGTTCCAGTTTTATATCCTGTACAATTTGTCATTTATATTTATATTCTCAGGTTTAATACTTTAACTGCTAATTTTTTTAACAATTCTTTAAATAAAAACTTTTAAACATCTACATTAAATAAATATATTTGATCATCTTTACTGATGTTACAATATAGCAGTAACTACTCATGGTATTTTTTTCTGCATTGTGTTACATTTATTTTTCTTTATAGTTTTTTGTAAATTTATCTAAATTATTAAAATACACAAAACAGACTCTGCATTATGTTTTTACATATCTTTAAAAATGATAATTGTTTTGTTAAAATATGTGACATCTTATGCTTTTGGGCCGTAATTACAAAAATAAATACAATCTTTAATTTTCAGCCTGGATCCTGCAGTGAAGCTTTTCAAACTAAGATTAGCTTTTATATGAGGTTATTTAAAGAAAACGTGATTAGCTTAATTATTTAAAGAGTGCAGTTATGTGTGCTGAGTCACAGCAGAGATTTTATCTGACAGACAAAGTCATCCCTCGTTCCACAGCAGCATGTTGAGCCAAACAGACGTCTGAGTTTCAGGATTTCTGAGTTTCAGGATTTCTGAGTTTCAGAATTTCTGAGTTTCAGGATTTCTGAGT